CTGAATATTGAGTGCCTCTCATCAATGAAATGTAATTGATATTCCTAATAATGAGCCTTCAAGAGGGAAATACATGAAATGGCCCCTTATATCATTACATCATGTTCACTGATGTTTTAATATAAAATGTATGTCATAGATCCAATTCTGGAGACAATTACAATGTGTGTTTCCTCCCTGACCCCCACCAAACCACTAAGCAATTCTCAGATATCAGCTGGGCGTCCTACAATTCAACTCAATTCTGGAATTATCTACCTGGAGATAATGTCAGATCCCCCAGGTCAAAGTCTCAGTTGTTCACTCCAGATGCCAATCTCAGGTCCAGGTTGTCACCTGTGCATTTGATCCCCTCCTTGGGTTTGATTATTGTGCTAAGGTAGCTCGTGGGACTCAGAAGACCATGTACTTACTAGATTTTCAGTTTATTACAAAGGATATAAGGATGCAAATGAACAGCCAGGGGAAGACATATGTAGGAGGGTCTCTGTCCTTATGGAGTTTGGGGCCCCACATGAAGGCACATGGGAGCATTCAGGCTCACCAACCTGCAAGTTCATTGGACCTTGTCCATTTTGGACCTTGTCCTTTTTGGGGGGGGGGGGTTATGGAGGCTTCATTCCACAGCCAAATGATTGGCCATTGGTGATTGAGTCAGCCAATCAGCAGGGGAGAATAAGAGTCCTAACCATTGCAGATTGGCTCCCCTGGTAATCACCCCCATCCTGAGTTCCCAAAGTCCCCTCAGTCATGGTGGAAAGGGGTTTGTTGTGAATCACAAGACACCCATTTACCTTTATGGCTCTGAAGGGATTTCAAGAACTGGGGACCAAAGACAAAATATTATAACAAAAGATGGTTCCACCGCTCTTGCTCAGGAAATTCCAAGTGTTTTGGGACTGTGAGCGAGGAGGCATAGACAAAGACCAAACTGTACATTAATTATCAATCACAATCTCGCAGGATGGTACACATTCTTTGAGAATTGTTAGGCCTTACATTGTATTTAGGAATGTTCTTAGTATTGACATAATTCGTACAGTTCTGACCATGGTGGATAACGTGCAGCTTCCGCTACATTTCCCAGTCAATATTCATTCATTTGTTCCTCGTTTACAATGACCCCTTTCATTGTTTCTTTACAATTAAGAAGGAGTTGCCCTGTGCCTGGCACAGGGTAAACAATCAGTAACATATAGAAGTTGGCATTATGTAAAAAGAGAGCATGAGTTGAGCATGAGTCTTAGGCACTGTGATATGTGATAAACGTAGACGATCGGGAGTCCTGGGTAAGACAGCTGGTGCTGGGGAGGAATATGTCTAGTGGGGGCAAAGGCCAGGAGACCAAGCAGTGAATGCCTCAGAGAGAGAGAGAGAGCCCGTGGAGGCACTTCCCACACGTGAGGAGCTCAGGGAATGTGAGGGATAAATGGATATTATCTAGGCAAAGGGGAGGGCTGACTGAGGGTGAGAAAGAGAGCATTGGATTCCAAAAGGGTGACTGCCCTCCTGGAAAGAGACTACTGCCCTTTGTTTGGAATCGACCCCTTTCTTGACAGGAGTCCTCTGTGTGCACTTTTGATCCACACCAGTGGTTCTCAACTGGATTTTGCTGCGCCTGCCACCTGCTCCCACTCCCCTCCCCCCATCCCCAGAGACATTTGGCAATGTTTGGAGACATTTTTGGTTGTCACAGTTGGAGGGGTGGGGGAGTGCTACTGACATCTAGTGGGTACCGGCCAGGGATAGTGTTAAACATCCTACCCTTACACAGGACAGCCCTCCAACAAAGGGTTCTCAGGCCCCAAATGTCAATATTGCAGCTCCTGAAAATGGCGGTCGAAGTCTCTGCACTAATTCTCTGCCTCTTAAATCCCTGCAAGAGCACTTTTATAAGGAGGAGTTACATTGAGGTACCTGCCCAGAGCCCTTCCTTGGGTCCACCCTGCTAGATGCTGGGAGTGGGATTTCCTCTCTGTCATTTGTGTTCCTCTCTGTACTAATATAAAACACTTGGCTAATAACTGTAAAATGAATTGAAGTACAAGACGCAGCCTTATAATGGCATTTTAACGAATGATCACTTGAAGAGTTTGCGTAAAATGGAGATAGTAATATCACATTAGGTGGTTGTGACTAAGAAAGGAAATAACGTATGTGGAGTGTTTACATGGAATACTCCCAGAGTGCTCCTTCTTCTCATTTTTGTTAGGATGTGATGGCTTCTTTGATGTGTCAACTTGGCTAGGCTCTAGTATCCCATTATGCAAATGTTGATCTAGATCTTTCTAAGGGCGCCTGGCGACTCTTGCTCTTGGGGTTGTGAGTTTGAGTCCCAGGTTGGGACATTATTTAACAAATAAAGAAACAAACAAACATTGATCCAGGTCTTTCTCTCTCTCTCTTTTAAAGTTTATTTATTTATTGTTGAGAGAGGGGGAGAAAGAGAGAGAGAGAGAGAGAGAGAGAGAGAGAATATGCACTCACACAACTTAGGGAGGGGCAGAGAGAGAGAGAATCCCAAGCAGGCTATTCACTGCCAGCACAGAGCTGGACATGGGGCTTGAATTCACAGACTGTGAGATCACGACCTGAGCTGAGATCAGGAGTCTACACTTAACCGACTGAGTCACCCAGGCGTCCCTAGGTATTTCTGTGAAGGTATCATGCAGATCTAGTTAATGCCCCTAATCTGGTGACTTTAAGTAACGGAGATTCTGCTGGATCACTTGGGTGGGCCTGACTGAATGATGTCGAAGGCCTTAAAAGCAGGGCTGAGGCTTCCCTGGGAGGGAAGCAGGGTCTCTTCCCTTGGATGACAGCTCCAGCCTGTGCCTGTGAGTTTTAGCCCACAAGAGAGTTTTCTTTCTGACTCCCTGCCTGCCTTAGGGATATCAGGCATGCTCAACCAGCCCGCACAATTGCACAGGTAATTCCTTGTAATAAATCTCCTAATACATGTAGCTTTTAGAGGTTCTGCTTCTCTGGTGGAACTTCACTGAGATGATTAGTATTTGTAGTATTTTATGTCCACCTGGTAGGAGGTATTTCAAGATGTTCAAAACAGATTTAAAGGCAGTTTCTTGGGCACCTGGGTGGCTCACTCAGTTAAGTGTCGTGTCCAACTTCGGCTCAGGTCATGATCTCTCGGTTCGTGAGTTTGAGCCCATGTCGGGCTCTCTGCTGCCAGCGTGGAGCCCACATCAGATCCTCTGTCCCCCTCTTTCTCTGCCCTTCCGCCACTGGAGCCATCTGTCTCAAAAATAAACGTTAAAAAATAATAAAAAAATTAAAAGTGTCTGCTCAAATCCCTGTCCCTTCCCATTTCTGAGTCGACAGATGATTGTCACAGAACCCTCAGAATCAAATGAAAGATTTTTTAGTCAGTCTCTCAGAGTTGAGGCTGAGAGGTAGTTTAGATATGGAATTGGCCTGGACATGATCTCTACCCTGTATAACTTGCAATCCAAAAGTAGGCTTGAGGGAAAACATACTTAGCTTTATGTATAGTTGAGCTTCCTATTGAGGGCGAATTCCAAGGTGAAGTGCATATGTGTTGGACTGGGTGGTGATGGGGCAGATGCAAATTATAGTGACTCTTTCCTACCTGAAAATGGAAATGAAGGGATGCTGAGGAAGGGCTGGGTGAGGAGAGGGGCTTGTCCAGGGGTCTGCCAAGGCTGCAGAGGTGGCAGCGAGGAGAGAAGAAGCTGCCTGTGCTAGAGAACTTCGTGGGAAAGAATAAAAAAGTATCCAGGGGATTTTATTGTATTTTTTTGAAGTTTCTTAAATTTATTTGAGTAATCTCTATACCCAACGCGGGGCTTGAACTCATGACCCCAGGGAAGAGTCACATGCTCTTCCGACTGAGCCAGCCAGGTGCCCCTATCCAGGGGATTTTAAAGTCAGTTTTCCTGTGCTGTGAGAATATAGACCTTCTTCCCTTCCTCCCCATGAAATCTTCAATGAAGTATTTATTCATTTGTATTAATGAATTATGAAGTTCGATCAATTTCTGCGATGTGTTAAAGTGCTGTAAGAGGAGCAGAAGTCATAATGGAGGTTCCATGTAGGGTGTGGCCACCCTGTGTAGCTTAGAGAACTGCTGAGGATGCACATAATCTAGAACCATGAAAGATGCACGTTTTCTAGTTTCCTTGCAGCAGATAAAAAGTGTGTCAATTATGATAAAGTGGCTCATCAAGGCATTTTTCATATATTTATTGCCTGTCTGTCGGGGGTGCTGTGCTAGGTACCAGGCATATGTCTGAGAACAAGTCTGCCATGGGAGTTTGATCTGGGTTGGGGGGCATGATACAGATAAACAAAAGGTAATTATAATATAATGTGGGATGAAAAAGCAAGTGAGAAGTTGCTAGGGGAGTCTGTGACAGGGTACAATCTAAACCAGGAGGGGGGGAGATGGGGGCTTTGTGGGGGAAGTGACACCTCATCTAATCCAGAGAATGAGTAGGAAGTGAGAGGGAGCAAAATATGACCCCCAAATGTGCCACTTTGGCATGCCAGTTGTTTTGAGCTAAAGGCAATCAAGATCCAGCAGGCTCAAGAAAAACTTTTATTTTTTCCTTAACTACCTAATATATATATTATATATATATATTATAAATATATATATATATATATTTATAAAGGCTGGCCCAGAAAGAGAACTATTACCAAAGATGACATTTTATCGGAAAGACCTGTCTGTGTGGCAGGGCAAACAGCTAATTGCTAAACATCTGATCTTCTTATTGTCCTGTGAATTACTCTCCTCCTCTTTGAGGACCCAGGCCCCTATCCCATTCCTTCGCACAGGATGGCATTGAACCCTGAACTGCCTGCCTTGTCCCTGGGTCTCATATTTTTTATGGGGCTCCTGTACATATGTAATTAAGTTTGTTTTTCTTCTGTTAATCTGTCTTATGCCAATTTAATTAATAGACCAGCCAAAAGAACCTAAAAGGCTAGAGAAAAAATTGTTTTTTCCTTCCCTACAGAGGTAAGAAGATAAAGAGCTAGAGACAGGTGATTTATGCTCTTAGCCCAGCAAGCAATTTGTTGAAGAGATGCCACGTTTCTTGTAACCACTCTTCTTTTTTTTTTTTTTTTTTTTTACAAATAGTTTATTGTCAAATTAGTTTCCACATAACACTCAGTGCTCATCCCCACAAGTGTCCTCCTCCATGCCCATCCCCCCTCCCCCCCACATCCATCAGTCCTCAGTTTTTGTCAGCATTCAAGAGTCTCTCATGGTTTGCCTCTCTCCCTTTCCCCCACCATTTCCGCCCTTCTTCTCCCCCTTGTGCCTCCGTCAAGTTCCTCCTAATCCTCCTATACGTGCAAACATATGGTATTTGTCCTTCTCTGCCTGACTTATTTCGCTCAGCATAACACCCTCAAGGTCCATCCATGTTGCTACACATGGCCAGATGTCATTGTTTCTCATTGCCATGTAGTATTCCATGGTATAGATAAACCACATCTTCTGGATCCATTCATCTGTTGATGGACACTTAGGCTCTTTCCATGTTTTAGCTATTGTGGAGAGTGCTGCTATGAACATTGGGGTACATGTGCTCCTATGCCTCAGCATTTCTGTATCCCTTGGGTAAATTCCTAGCAGTGCTATTGCTGGGTCCTAGGGGAGTTCTATTGTTAGTTTCCTGAGGAACCTCCACACTGTTTTCCAGAGGGGCTGTACCAGTTTACATTCCCACCAACAGTGCAGGAGGGTGCCCATTTCTCCACATCCTCGCCAGCATCTAGAGTTCTCTGTTTTGCTCATTTTAGCCACTCTGACTGGCATGAGGTGGTATCTCAGTGTGGTTTTGATTTGTATTTCCCTGATGAGGAGGGATGCTGAGCATCGTTTCATGTGTCTGTTGGCCACCTGGATGTCCTCTTTGGAGAAGTGTCTGTTCATATCTTCTGCCCATTTCTTCACTGGGTTGTTTGTTTTTTGGGCGTGTAGTTTGGTGAGTTCCTTATAGATTCTGGATATTAACCCTTTATCTGATATGTCATTGGCAACTATCTGTTCCCATTCCGTTGGTTGCCTATTAATTTTCTGGGTGGTTTCCTTGGCTGTGCAGAAGCTTTTAATCTTGATGAGGTCCCAACAGTTTATTTTTGCTCTTGATTCCCTTGCTTTTGGGGATGTGTCAAGTAAGAAGTTGCTGCAGTGGAGGTCAAGGAGGTTGTTTCCTGCTTTCTCCTCTAGGGTGTTGATCGTTTCCTGTCTCACGTTCAGGTCCTTTATCCATTTTGAGTTTATTTTTGTGCATGGTGTGAGAAAATGATCTAGTTTCATTCTTCTGCATGTTGCTGTCCAGTTCTCCCAACACCATCTGTTAAAAAGGCTGTCTTTTTTCCATTGGATATTCTTTCCTGCTTTGTCAAAGATCAGTTGGCTGTATACTTTTGGGTCCACTTCTGAGTTCTCAATTCTGTTCCATTGGTCTATGTGTCTGTTTTTGTGCCAATACCATACTGTCTTGATGATGACAGCTTTGTAGTAGAGGCTAAAGTCTGGGATGGTGATACCTCCCGTTTTGGTTTTATTTTTCAGTATTACTTTGGCTATTCGGGGTCTTTTGTGGTTCCATACAAATTTTTGGATAGTTTGTTCTAGTTTTGAGAAGTATGCTGGTGCAATTTTGATTGGAATTGCATTGAATGTGTAGAGTGCTTTAGGTAGTAATGACATCTTAACTATATTTATTCTTCCTATCCATGAGCATGGAATGTTTTTCCATTTCTTTGTGTCTTCTTCAATTTCCTTCATAAGTTTTCTATAGTTTTCATCATACAGATCTCTTGTATCCTTGGTTAGGTTTATTCCGAGGTATTTTATGGTTTTTTGTGCAATTGTGAATGGGATCAGTTTCTTGATTTCTCTTTCTGTTGCTTCATTGTTGGTGTATAGAAATGCCACCGATTTCTGTACGTTGATTTTGTACCCTGCAACTTGGCTGAATTCTTGGATCAGTTCTAGTAGGCTTCTGGTGGAGTCTGTCGGGTTTTCGATGTAGAGTATCATGTCATCTGCGAAGAGTGAAAGTTTGACTTCCTCTTTGCCAATTCTGATGCTTTTGATTTCCTTTTGTTGTCTGATGGCTGATGCTAGGACTTCCAGCACTATGTTAAACAACAGTTTGTAACCACTCTTCTATTTTGATTCTTTCTTGGGAGTTCCAAATGGACATCATATCTTGACATGAAATGGAAACGTAATTGAGGCTAAGCCTCTTGAACTATTTTCTAACAGAAAATCATCCACTGTGAAAACCTTTAAAGAAGAGAAACAGTCGAGTCTGACTGGTTTTCTGGTTGTCCTGAACTGAAAGGTCGAGGGTGGTACCTTAGAAGTTAAGAAAATTATAAAGGGAACAAACATGGCACAAACATGGACAAGTCTCACGATAACAGAATTTAGACAAGACCCTGAAAGCCTGAGATAGACAGTTTAAGGATAAATACAAGCAAAGCCTGTATAGAATCTATTTTACGGAACTTTTATTCTCTAAAATATAGCACAGGCTGAGATTACAGAAATGTTCAAGACCTTGGATGGATTAATGTACGATGGATTCATAGTGGGCTGCTAAGGGAATGGAATAAATCACATTATCGCCAGGTTTTGACACCATGGAAGATTTAAATTACCTCTATGATATGACCAGAAGGGAATGCTGGAAGATATGGATCATGAGACCCCCAATGGCAATGGTATGGCTCTTCCCTCAAGTGGGTGTCCTAAACCATACACATTAAACAGTACACATCTAATAATATTTTTATTTGTACAATTTCTCTCTCTTTTTTCTGGAGGAGAGACTTATAGCCACAGAGCCTCTGACTAATTGCAGACAATGAACTACTTATATGTTACCTGTCTCTCTACCCATTTCCACCTGTCATACTTCACCCATATGTCCTCTGTTGGATTTCTCTCTCATTGCTTCCGTTCATTAGACCTTGGTTCCACACAGCTGGCATTTTAAAAAAATCACCAGTGTCTACTAATTTATTTCTTCCTGAACTCTGAAATCGAGTCTCAAGTTCACCAGGGTGGGAGTTAGTGAGAGAGTCAGCCAAAGTGAAAGACATTAGCTCATCATTTGATATGACCCCTGGTTGAACTGATTTGTAAGTGGAAGTCTCTTTGGTTGATTACAGGAGGACATGGAGAATAATCCTCTAGAAAGGACTATGGAAAAGAATTCCAGCAGAGCAAAAAAAGGGCCTTTGTGCTACCTTTTTGTAAAAATTAAGATTTTACTTTTTTAGAGCAGCTTAAGGTTCACATGCCTGCTTTCTTACACAAGTGGAATCAAGAACCAGTTATTTAGATAACTCTTGTTTCCAGTTAGTTTCCGCGAGTTTGTGTTCCGTTGAGTTCCCTTAGTTTGTGTGTTTAGAGTATATTTTTTGTCAGCATTTTCAGGATTGTTGACACAGTTTCCTACATCACTTTCCACTGTGCAAAGTCTATGCCCTAATTTGATGAGTTATAAAGAAAGGCAGAAGAATTGTCAAGGAGTGGTGGTGAGGGTGATCTTGGGGATCTAGCCGGGATGTCCTTGAACTTCTTTCTCTAACCTGTTCCTGGCCCCTCTCTGCTGGGATGGGCTTAGGCTTGGTGGCCCTCATCTACCTTCAGAACCATAGCGATGCCCTACTGTCTGCCGGCCATCTCCCAGGGTACCCAGCAGATTTGTCTGACTGGGGCTGTGTCCTAGTACTGGCTCCTTAAGTTGTGGAACTTTCATTTGAATGTGGAGTGGATCCTTGGTCAGAAGGGTAGGCAGTTGGGATGGAATGGGATTCCTGGTTAAGGGGTGGCCTTTTAGCATTGGCTGTATCTGGTAAGACACCAAGTGTCTACCTTTCAAAGTGAGGTAAAAAAGTTCCTTTGATGGAGCAGGGGGAGGCAGTGACTACTGCTTCCTTAATATTCTTTGATTCTAAGGTTCAAATGACAACTTATTATTATTCTACATAATCTCCAAACAGATTTGTTTTTGTCATTACGTGGGTTGAGTAAAATATAAATTTTCTTCAAATTTCCTTTTTCCTGAAAGCTTGTGTCTTACCTGATTGCTCTATCAACTAAATTCTCCTCTTCTTAATTACTCCCCCCAACTGTTTCCCATTTATTTAATAGGTTAAAGAAAAATCACAAAATTAAATAGGATCATTGTAATATGTGAAACAATACAAAGGTGTATATAAAATAGCTAGTAACAGCGATCTAGTACACAGTCTCCTTAAATCCTATTCTTATGAAATCACCAGTGTGAAAAGCCTGTTGTAGATACTCTTTACTGTCTTTCTTCATGCTCCCTCAAGCCTATACAAACATATCTGACATGTGTAGGTTTTTTTCCCCCTAAACATGAGCTCTTACTATCTAATATCCTTTACCATACATTTCCTTGCTAAACAAACACCATGAGTATCCATCTGGGTGAGCAGATGTTTTTAACCTTGCTATGTTCAATATAGTAGCCATTGGCAATGTGTGGCTTTGATCACTTTAAAATGGCTGGTCCAGATTTCTAGGGCTTGGTATGAAAATAAGAAGAATGTAAACTACCTTGTTAATAGTTTTTATGTTGATCACATGTTGAAATGACAATATTTTGGGGGCACCTGCATGGCTCAGTTGGTTAAGCAGCTGACTCTTGATTTCAGCTCAGGTCATGATCTCATGATTCATGAGTTTGAGCCCTGCATTGAATCTCTGCTTGGGATTCTCTGCCCCTTCCCTGCTCACACACTGCATGTTTTCACTTTCTCTTTCAAAAATAAATACACAAATATTAAAAAAAAGAAATTACAATATTTTGGATATATTGAATCAAATAACATATGTTACTAGAATCAATTTCACTTATTTCCTTTTAATTTTTCTTGAAGTAAACTTTACCTCCAACATGGGGCTTGAATTCATGACTCCAAAACCAAGAGTCTCATGCTCTGCCAACTGAGCCAGCCAGACACGCCTATTTCCTTTACTTTTAAAAGTTGTGGCTATCAGAAGATTAAAAACTTCTTCCATTATGTTTGTACTGGAC